GAGAGTCAATTGAAATTATGATTGAAAGATTATAGTGTCTGTTAATTCTGATAATGAAGCACGCAACATTTTTAAATACAGGTTTAAAGCCATTGCAATCAATGACTTTATAATAAAAAAACTCATTCATTCATTCATTCAAAAAAGTGATATCTTATTGAAAATGAAAAAATGAATGATTTTTTAAGGGTGAGTAAAAAAACTGGGAGAGAGCGGAATAAAAAAATAATCAAAAAACGTCAATTCAATGAATTCTCTAGAAGAAAATGAACAATGAACAAAAAAAAAGGACTACAAGAGTAAAAATGAAGGGACTCGTTTAGCCCCTGACCCCATCATTTCCTCCCACGTTATTTCCCCAAATACACGGTTTATTAACTGAAATAATGAGCGTAACGAAGGCACAAGGAAAAGAGGGTCTAACCGGTGAATTGTGGGCCAGTAATACCCGGAAGAATATCTCCCCTTATTTAGCACTATTAATAGATACCATGACGTTGATAACACCCATTAAAAAAATTCTCTTCACACCGAAACAATTCCGGTTTCTTCATCAGCCAATCATCAACTATCAGCTTTTATCAAAGCTTCCCCTCCATAAACATCACCAGTCAAGCCACCTGCTCAGTTAGCCCTAACCTGTTCCATTTCAAAGTAAACATTGTAGAGATAAATTATCCAAGCAAACGACTCCAATGAATATCAATGCAAATTACTAAATTACACAGTGGTGAAGAGGTTGAGGAAAGAGAAATGAAAAAAAGAAAATAATGAGAGTAAAGAATCAACATACCCAGGCAGAGGCAGACGAGGTCGATTATAATCTTCCTGAGTAGAATTCTCGATGTTCTGTCCATGATAACAACCAATTGGTTATGACTGAATTAATTCTTAAATCCGCACTCGATCTGCACAATTTATGGGGTCAATGTAACAACAACAAGAAATAGTGTATGAGGAATGGAGATAAGGAGTCATTGCAAGTTGTGAATTATTTTGTTTGGGAGAGTGTGAGGGATAGTGACATGACGTGGGTGTATGCTGTGCAGAAATATGCGGAAATAATCGATGTGGGTGAGTCAGGTGTAAATGTCAGGTGTGGACTGTCATTCGTTGTCATTCGTTGTCATTCATTGTCATTGATGTATTTGGTGGTTATCTTGGCTTACCAGTAGACACTATCGATCCAATTCCACCCACTACTCGGATTTTATAGATCTACACTCGTTCCATTAAGAATGATAAAATAATAAAACAACCAGGGAACGCGATCGTTCGCCTTCTACGCGCTCTCACTCAGACTGACTTGAAAACTAAACTCAGCTCTGCTCAGCTCTCTGTACTCACGATTCACTCACAATCCCCCACCACTAAACCGTTTTTCCCTCTTTCATCGTTCAACATTTACCCCCCTTGATACCTACCTTGCTGCTCTGCCACAGCTGCAGCTCGAGATCATGAGAGATCTCTTCTCTTTTTCAACGCGAGATCGCTATTATCTCACTCGAAGGCTCGTCAGAAAGAAAAAAAAAATTAGGAATCGTGAGTCTGCAAATAGTATATAATACTGAGGCTCGGAAGACTCTAATTTTTAATTATTGTATGGAAATTTGAAGATGAGAAAATTTACAGGAACCAACGGACGGACGTTTTGGCAATTTTTGGAAAAATTGAAGGGAAAAGGAAAAATTCAAGACGAATTCAAGACGAATTCAAGACTGGAATTCCTTTCAAGTGTCCACGTGTGATGAAGTGAATGAAAAGTGAATGAAATGGAAGGGAAATTTAGAGTGAATTGTATTTTTTAACGGGTAATTGGAATTGAATTAATTAATTATGTAACTGTAATTGGATATTGCGCTTATTGTGAATTAATTATATTTTAATTGTTCGTTGAAGAAAACATTAGACCCTTTGATTACCTGTCCTGCAATAGGTCTTGTCGACTGGGAGGCAGCTGCTGTTGGAGATCACGTTTTTCAGGGCACGAGTTTTCTTGTCTTTTTTAATGCAAGATGTGTATTATCTCACTCTCAGGTTCGCCCGACTGAATATTCAATGAACCGAGAGGAGATGCCGGAGAGGAAACACAAATTTTACCCCTGCGATTCTAATCATTGTGTGCACGCGATGGGAGGTGAACAGTCCAGAATCTTGTTAGCAATTTTATAAATTTTTTTTTTCTACCATGATTGGGTTGGGGTTTTGTTTCAACGAGTGGCTCTGGCCCTCGCTTTCTGGTTGTTTGAATCGCTGGGGGCCTTCTGCGTTTTCAGGATTTCACACGTGGCAATTTTTGAGGGAAGGGTAATTGTCGATTATTTCAAGATCTTGCTGCGCGCTAGATAAAATTGGTAATGACTGGTTTGAATCGGAATCTATTGACTTTCTAGGGGAATTATGTGGGAATTACGCTGCAGTTATGGTATTTTATGGAGACTAGTCGAAGTTAATGGATTCGAATGGATAGATCCAGAATTGTTTAACTGCAATGGGAATTTTTTAAATTCGTGATTCAAATTCCATGACGAATGCTCAAGGTATTCCCCTTCAGGTACGGCATTTATTCTGGAATAAAGAACAAAATGATGAAAAAATATCGAATTCATTCGAATCCCGGAAAAAATATCCCAGGGAAAAAATATTCCACACATTCAAAACGTGTTAAAACTCCCTCAATTTAATTATTTTTTAATTTAATTATTTTTTTGGTTGTCTATTTTTTCAGGGACTCTAATTTTCCTATGGTCTATCAAATTCGGTGGGTTTTAACACGTTTTGGGTGTGTGGGCTATTTTTTCCGGGGATATTTTTTCCGCCTACCAATTCATTCATATCAAAATTAGTGCACCCGAGAATCTATGAATTTTCTAAGAGGTGGAGTGTATAAATAATTTCTTTTGTGATTGTTAAAAATTTCGAATTTGTTTTACTTGAAATTTCAGGTATTGACTGATTGTAAACAAATGTTAAGATAAAGAAATGTCTCTTCCTATTTCATCGAAATTCATTCTCGATTGAAAGTAATAAAAAAAAATCATGTAAAAATTCTTACGATTGATAATGTAATAACTGAATTGAGGTTTTCTCACCCAGGAAATGAAGCAGACGTTGTAGATTTCATCGGCATGATAAATTTTATTTATTATAATTGGACAACTATGTACAAAGGCGGCATTAAACCACTTGAATGAGAATGAATCATTCACGTCCCAATGTCCTTCATTTGCGCTCAACTTAGGTTGAGTGGTTAAGATTCTCCCATTCTTCTTTTTTTTTCCATGATTTTATTATCTTTTTTGGTTTCCGTCTTCTTTCTTACAAATTCAGCCCTTCGAATTACCCAGGGTAGATGGGCGGTTGTCAACCGCAGGAGAAATCCCCGACGGCGCCAGTTTTCGAGATTCACTCAAGAGACTGACGAGTGAATCCTCTCACCGACAAGCTTTTTTCGGCTCTTTTTCTCCCACATTTGAATTATTGCCCTGGGGTTACCCCGAAGGTTTTTACGATGGATTTCGTTAGATCGTTTCTCGAGTTATTGAATAGAATTTTCACAAATATTTCGCTACTTTGCTCTCACTGGGACTAAAATTCATCTAAAATCGCATACCTAATTTCTCGATCTCAAAAAATTGAATAGAAAAAAGATCTTTCTTGCGTAAAATAAAGCAAGCAAACCCCGAAATAAAAAAGATGAAGTTATTTTCTGCTTTGAACGTCATATTCTGTAAATTTCTGGAGATTTTTTATGATTCACTCCGACTGTTTATGATTTTCAGAAATTCGTTGAACCCTTGACCTTAAATTTAAAAAATCGTACGAATCATCCCCGAGTCGAGAAATTAGTCTTGTGGTATTATATATGCGCTTTTTGGGTGCTCTGTTGACTAATGCAATGAAAGCATTATTAATCCGCTTATCTGTCGGACAAATACTCACGTATTTAAAAGATGCGGTCTATGTACACTTACATACCCAACAAATTGCGATTGATACGGCATTTCTAGGCGCGTCGTACTAATCTATTTATGTACATTCATTCCCTGAGAAAATAATTAAATTAGCCAAATGATCAGTATCTTGAGAAAACTATTTACTCTTAATATCATATTTATTCCGTGGAAGGAATTCCAAGAAAATTCCCCTAACATATTAAAAATCGATTTAAATTTCATCATTTATCTATTTAATTTCCATTATAGGAATTATTTTTTATCGAAATAATAAAATTTAAATATTATTAGTGTGGAGGAAGTAATTAGAGGAATTAGTTCAAGGAGAGCCCATAGTTAGAGCCTCATCAGTGACATCTGAAAATTATTTAATACGATTTTTTAAGTGTGAATAATTCTCTCAAATAAATTGACAGTTGGCGAGAATAATTAATTTTCTCAGTGCTGTCTACGAAAAAAATGTCTTAATTTTCGAATGACTCGTTCACGTTGAGTCACGCTATTTCCCCCACCGCTGCTAGAAATTTCTTGAAATTTCAGTCATTAGTCATCTCAAATCTTCAATTACGTGAATTCGAGTTCAGTTGAAAATATTCAGTAAATATCGTATCCACTTTGAAAATTCAAAAAAATTACGGTTTCTATAAATCGATTTCAAATGATAACCGATTTCTCTGAATTTTTTATAGACAAATAAAAAGTTCATAAAAGATATTGTCTGAATGGTTTCTTAAATAGCGAACTACTTCAACAAATAAGAAATAATCTGATTGTTCCAAACCAAAAAAAAATTACAAATAATTACGAGAGATTTCCGGAATCCCAAAACGAAATACCATTCCACGAAAAATTGAGCGAAATTCTCGGAAAATTTCCACCTCGTTCCTCAATTTTCCCCGGACCGTAATTTCCCTCGAGAATTACAGAATTTCCCATTTCCGATTAAATATTCTAATGGCTTGAAATTTCAATTATCATTTTCTAACAGTTGTTTGAGAAATCCTCGAGGAAGAAATAATGAAATATAAAGCATCACATGAAGAAATATGGTCTTTCAAAGAGTTTTCGTTAAAGAACGTATGCCCCATAAACAAACTCCATCTCCGACAGTCATCTTCGTGGCTCGGAGGCGTAAGCCGTGATGGAATTATCGATGCAACCAGCAGCGAGGATAACCCGATGTGGATGAAAATTCAAACATCCAACTGGTGGTATTCGCGTGCCCATGAAGCCCTCGTGAAATTTAATGGTATTCAAGTGTTGGCCCGCTGTTGTGTTGTAAACGCTTATGCTGTGATTCAAAGAGCCACTGGAACAATAAAAATAAGTATTACCTCTTGAGAGGCCCTTTTTTTTCTCCTCCAGGGAGGCGAAAGAGGAATGAGAAGAATGCTTCACGGTTTTGGGTTTATCTTTTGAAAATCAGGGGATCACTGAGGTTTCTTCTGATGAAAAAAAATTCAGGGATCACGAATGTTCCTGGAATTCAAGAGGAGAAACGAAACAAGACTCTGTGGTGTTGCATAATTTTTTCGTGGTGAAGTGGTCAGATGTAACGGAAGAAAACCAATTGATTTTTTACGGTTTTCTCGGTGGAAAATTATCTCGGTGATCAGTGGTTTTAGGGGAGAGGAGTAGATATTTTTATTGGAGAAAATTAATGGCTTTTTGAGATAAATTTAAAGTAGGATGGGAAAATAATTTAACTGTCCGGAGGAATGGAAGACTCGTAAAATGTTTTTTTTATCTTTCACTGGAAATTCGGGAGATTTTGATTAATTAATTTTCAATTGGTACTGTTGTTTCAGGGAATTATCGGATTTGATTATAATTTCTAGTGAATTTTCCACTAAATAGTAAATTTTTAACTAGACCATTTATCTATTTTAATGTATTTTTAAGGAAGTAGTATCTATTGGAGTTGTGACTTTGGTGCTGAATCAGTTGTCGTACTCTCCATGTCTGCGATCCATTTTAAGAGAAATTTCAAGGAACGAATGAGAATTTCTCAGGATTAATGTTCTCGAGGATGAGGTGACTCGCCTCATATGTCCTGACAAAGCCTAATAATAGGCGAATCCATATGGAAGTTGTAAATCATAATAAACTAATTCCGAGACTTCCGTTACTTATTTTTCCGTCTTGGAAGCGAATGAAAGAGACAAATCGTAAAAACATTCTGTCTTGTTAGAAAATTGCCCGGTAGTATTACAATTTCTTGTAAAAAAGAATTGATTGATAAATTGAGAATTGACATTGAAGCTGAACAGAAAAAAAAAAGGAGAAAATCGAAATAAGCTGAAATGTAAATAAACTCACCAAGCGAAGATATTAGCAGCTGGATGAACGGAGAACGCCGTGAGCTGCGTATGTGTCTGAATAACATTAATGGAGGAATTTTTCCTGAGATCAAAAATCCTAACATCCCCACTGACCGATCCCGTGACAAGCCGCCCTGGAGCGGCCGATTCCTTGGGCAGGTAGGCCCCAAGTACCCAGTTATTGTGTTCCCGCCAGGTCATAATTCTTGCCTCATTGGGGGGTAATCTCCGATCAAAAAGCCTGACAGATCCATCACCGCAACCCACAGCCATAACAGCCCCAGTGCCATCAGTATCTAAACAAGTGGCACAGCAATCAGCTCCAGTGGCAATATCCTGCCTCTTGAGCTCAGTCTCGGCATCCCAAAGCCTGACAATCCGCACATCCCCAGTGACAGCAAGAGTCAAAGATCTCTGCTCCCAGCTGGTAACAAGTCCAGGCGAAGTGGAAGAGGCTTTAGTGGCAGGTTGAACATCAACGAGTGCCTGCCAAGCTGTCAAAAGGGCTGGTTCCCTCCCCAAGACATTGCAATAATTCTTCCAAATTCTCACCGAGCCATCATCAGAGCCTGCCATCAGCAGTGAAACATCATGGCCATTAATAAACTCAAGTGCTGTGACTTTGCTGGTAATTCTGTTGCCTCTGCTTGCGCAATAAGTGAGTCTTGTGCTGTTGTGCCAGTCCCATATTCCAAAACTGTCTTTCGAGGCGATAGCCAAGTGTGGATCGAAGGGGTGAAAGGCTATGACATCGGGCTGCTGTGGACACCTTGTGTGAAACACTTGGCATTCGATTCGTGAATTGGGTGCTCTCTGGTACTCGTCCCTTGATTCTTCTCGCTGCCTTTTGTTACGCAGGTAACGCCATTCACGCTCATAATGTGCACGACTCTCAACATCACTTGTTGCTTCGGTATCAGTTTCGAAGGATACGGGTTGGGCGAATTGGGAACAACTCCACTCGACAAATTGAGAGCTTATCAGGGGACTCTTTGCACCAACTGTCTCGTCGGATTCCTCGGAGATTGTGTTTGGTATTGGCTTTCTGCCTCGATTGCTGTGCGGAGTTATTCGCGTTCGCAGGAGATCCGCTGAGTTTGTCGTTGGTGGTGATTCACTCTTGTTGAGGTAGCTTGTTCGATTTGATGGGGATGGTGGGAGAGAGAGGGATGATGCGTATTTAGCTTCTGTCACCTCTTTCGGGGTTGAAGATTCTTTTATTTGATTGCGGATATGACTTGTCACCTTTTGGGACATTCCAGCGACACCTGGATGGGGATCATTGTCCAGGTTTCCAAGACCGTGCCAGAGTTTCATGTAGACTGAACCGTATGACAGACTCGGCAGGTTACCCAAGGAGGAGTGACCTGGAGATATTCAAAGTTTTTTTCTTTGTTAGTCTTGAAGGATTTCAGGGGCTCGGCTGAGAGGTTTTGGTGAACGTATTCGGAGGATCTGCCGAGGAATTTTTTTCTTTGTCGAGGCAGATTATTTGGAGGATGAATTGAAGAGATGTTTTGTGAAGGGAGTAGGGGGGATCCGTTTACTTGACTTTTCGGAATTTTTTTGTCGATTCTCGGGGATTTGAGAGAAAAGGGAATTCTTCAAGGACGAAATTTCAGATTTTGGGAAACGAATTAAGAGTTGCGGAAATAATTTCTATTGAATTCTGGATAGATCTAACAGGAATCGTCAGAAATCGTCGAGGAAGACGGAATTCTGGAATATTTTCAATAAGAGAAATTTTTTTATAGCTGGAAATTCAGGATTGGTGTTCATGCAGGAATCAAAACAATTTTAAGGCTCGGGTGAATTATTTAGAAAAGATAATTTACTCCGAAATTGGGATTCCTAATTACTTTGGCAATTAATCGTTTTTTTCAATAATTGTTAGCTAGCGTTCTAGCGGTTGTCAACAACTAGGCCGCTAGCTAACAATTATCGGAAAAAACGATTAATTGACGGAGTAATTAGAAGTCCCAATTTTGGAGTAAATTATCTTTTCCATACCGTCCATCCGGGCCTTAAATGCACAATAAAAAAAGGAAATCAATAACGAATTATGAATTCCCTTTGAAATTTCTTTTCTATTGAACTTATTTCGCCGTATCAATATGAATCGCTTTTCCAATAAATTCGTTCCGCAGAATTTCGCAATCTTTACAAAAAAATTACGGAACGACTTGTTGCGCCTACGACTGTGATTCATCCGACGGGTGGTTAATTTTTTAAGAATAAATCGTAGTATTTACTTGTCGGTTCCTGCGATTTCACTTTGACTCATACTCTGTATCACTCGCGGATTACATTTCGCAACGAAATTTGTACTTTTTTCTGGTGAATTTCATTGAATTGCACTGCGCAAATGAACGGTTTTTAATTAATAAATAATATTAATCGAGTCCTATTCGAGAACTTGAAAATCTTCATCTGTTTAATTAATAATTACAACAATTATATGATTACATAATTAATAGAAATGATTTATTTATAAATTAATTATTCATTTATTCGTTAAAATTTGTTATTTATATTAATTTATTCATTACGGGAAATTGATTTGTTGTTTGATCATTTTATGACGCATCGACACTATCTCTGAATTTTTGCAAAGAATATTCTGTGTTGGGATTCAATTCAACGAATAAATCGATTCATATTATATATATCTGATAAAAATCATCGGATTCACGGAATGTTCCGCTTTATCACTGAGTCGTATATCTAATCTCAGTGATAAGAATTTCATTGATTAACCCGATGGACTCGTCAATAAAATTGTTCAGCCGATTTTGATAACAATGACATTAAGAGTAATAATGAAAGGGACTTCCCGGTAGTTGAGGAAATGCTTCATATGTAAAAACGTATCAGAAATTTTATCTCAAATGTGATGGATCATGATCTTCAACGCGAATAAAGTCCTGAACTCGATATTTGATTGAGATTATTCACAATCAGTCACTCGCAATCAGAGAATATCTTCTGTCATCAACGCAATATTCTGTTTTATTTTTCAAAGATTATTTACTCGAAGAATTACAATTCTCATTGCATCGAGTTATATTGATTAAACCTAGAGAAAATTATTTGCATTTTCCATGAAGACTCATTTACGTAAAGAATAATGACATCTGTTCTTTTTTGGTTTTGCAATTGGGCCCAAGTATTGAGCAACTTGTGGCAATAATTAACTCATACCCTGTTATTGCATTACAAAATACATAGAATGAAAGAGGCAGCTATGAATAATATGAAGAGGGCAGTCTTGATACGGAATATCCACCGAAAAAAGAACAGAAGGGATGAATAATTCGAAGTTTTTGAATTATTAAAAGTATTTGAATTCTTGAAAGCCTCGAACTTTTTTAGTGCCCTGAATATCGAAACGTAAAAAGAGAAATAAAAATATAAAAATTTCAGAAAAGGGTAGTCCACTGAAAATAAATAAAGCAGAGAATAGAAAAGAGCAAGCACAAAGTGAGTAAAATGATCATTACCAAGAGACTCGCAAGGTTTTCTCACAAACTCCCAGTTATTCCCTGATGTCCAGAGTGCAGCAATTAAAAATCCATTATAAAATGAGTCCTGACGAATGAATCAAAACGTAAATCTAAAAATCTCACCCAAACTGCTTATGGATGAGGAAGAGGAAACCCTCTTGATTCTATCCTGTCCAAGTCCATCGTCCCCAATGTAGGTGTTATTGGGGACAATCTTGAGCCTGTCCCTGGATCCAATTCTCCTCATTCCACTGAATGGCGAGAAGGTTTCAACGACAAGATCCTTCCTGGAGTTTTCCTCGGCAATGGCAAGGGTGACAAATGAATTCTCAAAGTGTAAAACCATCCACTGAAGTGCCACAACCAATTCCTTCCTCACCAACGGCGACATATCATGCGTAACAGTGTTTATAAGTGTCATAGCAATCATCTGATCGATGTTATTTGCATGTTCACTCCTCTTAGTGACACTATTGATAAATGTTCCAAGTGCATATACACTGGCAGCCCTGACTTCCGGCACAGGATCAAGCAACAAACTCCCTAATTTCTCATGGGCAATGTCCCTTACCCCACACCACCTTGCCTTATCGTAATTGTGCCACAGCCTTCCTAAACAGAGACAAAGCCATTGCCTCAGTAAATGATTACTGTCTCCCAATTGCTCCAGACAAATCGACACTAAACTCCCCTGAAGGGCAGCCTCCTGTCCTGGTGAGTAATTGTGCACCATACTCGCTAGAACAAAAGCTGCTAATGTCCTGTGTTCACTAGCCATCGTAACGTCCTGCAGGACAGACAAAAAATACTTGTGCCCATTGTCCCTCACCAGATCCAACTGGCAAGTACTGTCAACAGCCAATATCTTAGCCCAAATGAACACCAACAGTGGTCTCAACTCTCTGGCATTGCTCTGCAGCAATTTCAGTACGTAAGGAAATATTCCAACACTCAAAGCTAGATTCACAGCCCAAGGACCCAAATCCAGGAATTTACCCAGCAGTTCAAGTGCCCTCAATCGATGCACTTGACTAAGTAATACTTGTAGGACAATTGGCAGTTGCTCTGGGGGATTTCTGTTCTTCGATCCCAGGGTCAACCAGACTTGAAAGGCTGTCAGTTGCTCCTCGAAGAACGGGGAATGTACGAATTGATCTTCTGAGTCTAGGATCGCTGGTAATTGAGCCAAGCAGAGATCCAGAGCTAAGTCCCAGGCTTGCCACATTGGATGTTGATAGGTGGCTGGTAGTTTTGGACAGGATACTGGGGTGCAGTCGTAGGACCTCAAAATTCTCTCAGCGAGGAGAAAATTCCGGAAGAGACTTGCCACTAGGAGATCCTGACGAAAGAGTCGCTGGAATAAATCCCTGGGGAGAGTGTTCCAAGCGATTGTATCAGTTATTGCTGTGAATATCCAGTTCAACTCTCCTAGCATTGTTCTGCGGTCTGTCAATTGTCCTGGAATCTTGTCTATGAGGTCAAGATTTATTTTGGGGACTAGCTTCGCGGTGTTCTGCATTACGAACCACTGGAGGGCAATTTTTATGGGTGTTGTCAGGCAAGATGTGAAGATATCCGCTGGCAAGTCTGGATTCATTGGGAGGATCTGATTGGCAGCACACGCTGCCAACTGGATGCAATTCTTGTAGGAGGGCATCGTCACACCAGCCACACCTGCTACTCTGTTCTGTTGCAACGCCTGTTTCTCGTTCTCATATTCTTTCTCGTGTTGATCAGCAAATTGCTGAAATGAATCGACTATGATTCCGGCGTTGGAGCAGTCGTAGACGTAGATACTTGGGGCACCCATCCAGGTCTGCAGATCGTACACGGAGAGGGGAATGTACTGGGTGTATGTCCGGTTGAAGACCCATATTTCACCGTTGCTCGTTGGTTTTGGCACTCCGTGGCCGTTATAGTGGAAAAGAACTCGTTCCTCTTTGGCGTTTCTGCGGAGAGAGGTGCAGAGTTTTTTCACTTCCTCCACTGTCGGATCCAGACTCTGTTTGTAGCGGGCTCGAGGCTGCCACCTTTCGTACTGCTTTTGCAGATTCGAACCTATCGTCTCCAGAGCTTTCTGCGGACTCACTGATAGGGGATCTGCAATTTTTGGGGGACAAACAGGAAACGGGAAAATCAAATGATTGAATTAAAATGAATTTTCATGATTTTCATCTCATACTTAAAGGGAAATGATTAGAAATACTGAATACTTCTTTATTTAGTTTTAATGGCAGAACTAAGTACTAAAAAGGATTCAGTAGAAGCATAAGTATTTTATTAATTCTCATTGAGTAGATAATTCTAAAATAATTACTGAAAGGAATATTTTCGAACAGGTGAATTGACAAATGAAAAAATGAATTATCGACCGAGCAGCATCCCTCAATCCGTCTCTAACCTCAAAACATCATGCACGTTACATAATCCTGAGGAATGATGCAGCATGCTGCACAAGTAGGACCAATGACTCATAAAAACCAATGGAATTACCAATCCAGCATTCGAGTCTGGCACACGGCTGTGTCTTCACAATATCTGGGGGATCGACACCGACGTTGAGACAGAGTACAAGGGCAACGCTAACAGTTTTCATCTGTAAATAGAGGAATGAAAATGACAAGGAGCCAGAGCCATCATCATGGAAATAGAAAAATCTCGATGATCAGGAAAGTGTTGATTTAAAAATGACGAGATTGAATTATATCGAGGACTCACTCGTTCCTTCATTCTCCAGGACTGTGTGATGCAATTGACACCCTCAATGCTGACAACATGTCTCGATTTATTGAATGCAATTGGCATTTTCCAATCTCCATCGTCGTATTTGTCGATGTCACTCGTCTCCTCACTGTCTCCCAGTCCCTCATCACTGTCTTCATATTTTTTCCCTTTCATTGTCATCGTGAGTGACATTTTAATAATGAGGTGAGAATTAATGAATTCAATATTATTTTATATCAATCCCCCGGTACAGCCACTCCGTTATTACGTCATACCAGTACGTATGTACCAACTCATTAGTCACGCCTTCACGTACACTTCTCATTTGCTATAATTATTGATTGATTATTCACTCGGGGATTATTCGAAATTTTTTGAGTAACATGCTGCCCCACAACAAATTACCCCACCAATTGTCGCCATGTTGAGCATTTTTCCTCTGCCATATCGGTCGAGTTTATCGCAATGAATCGAATTTTTTTTAATGCAAATTTTAAAAAAAAATTAATTATCTTCTCGGTGTACATGTCGTTATACCGCAATAAATTATTTTATTACCGTAATAATTAGTGATATAGGTATTTATCAAAGGCGACATGCACTCTGTTCTATAAAGACCACAAATAAAACGAAATTCATTCGAAATTCATGATTTAATCCTCTGGTGAAAATTTTTAAAACTGAAGTACATTGAATACTTTCATTTACAATTATTCATTGACTTTATTTACACAAAATTCTGCAAATAGGCAATATAATTCGTTATCCTAATGGGTATGCAATTAAGCAATTACATCAGGTATGGGGATGGATAATACGATTAAATAGAATTTTAATCGACAATCAAATAATATACTTTCAATTTATTCCACGGATTTATCTGGAGAAAATTAATTAAAAAATATAATGTGTATAAAATATAACATTCATAAAATACTGAGAAAAGATACTCTGAATATTTGACTATAAATTTCGAGTCAATCTTGTGACAATTGTTTCGATGAGAATGCTAAACTAAATGTGATATTAAACCTTCCTCTTGTATCCGTTTCCTTAGTTTCACAGCCTGATTATCGTATTATATACAATAATTATAATTTCATAACTCCTGGAATGAAGACTTGCTCTACAAGAGATTTATCCTAGTGTAGTCTATAAATAGTTTCTGTACGCCTTCCTGCGGAGTTTCGTCCTCTTTCGTGCGTTCATTTCGTTCATCGATTTCAGGTTTGAGAGGCGGTCGGATCTGTGAGAGGCTTGTATCCCTGAAAAAATATATAATCATCTCTCAAGTTTAGCTATAATTTATCAATGAAGTGGCAGAACGAGATAAATCAGCTGAACTCGATTTTCTATATTTTATAAATATCTTCGAGTCCACGAGAGGCAGTCGGATTTATAGAGGGACTTTCTGCGGGGCCTGCAATTTTTACTGACTCCACTCAATTAATTGAAATTTCAAAACAACTCGAATCTCAGAAACTTCAATTATTTTGTTCTGCCACTTATTTGAGGCATTGTGCAGCAGCTTATGAATGAAATGTCGCAAACACTCATAAAATTTTTTTTAGAACTTCAGATTTAAAGTTGTATGTTAATTTGAAATCTCCAGAATTTGCTCCGTGCCCTAGTTAAGGAATTAATTAATAATGGAGATAACGAATAATCCAGAATAAGTATAAAGAGCATCACACATTACGTTTCAAAACATAAAATAAAGAGGGGCAATCGCAGGACGACACACATGAGGAAGTGAATAAGGCGCATCTACACAGATTTCGGCAAAATTTTCAACTGTTTTCAGTTATTAATTACTGTGGAGTTGATATTGTATCGATTCATGCTTCCGTAATAACGTGGCCGATTGCAAATCCTTCGGACATCGCTTACAGTGCTATTGAAAGAATCCCGAAGCCGTTCCCTGAAGGTCTTGTACTCCATGTCTGGATTATTCTGGCCAAAATCGAAGTCTGCAACTTCGACTGTGAATTTTGCACGACTCTGGATGTAGTAGGCAATGCCGAAGACAATCAGCACTACCGCTGCCAGGGAGCAGGAAACTGGCACGACAATTACTGAGAGCTGGGGTTTTGCAGTGACTGAAATTATTTATTTAATAAAATATATAGATTATTCCCTTCATTACCGCTTCCCAAAAATTCACTTGCTAATTAATTATCAATTTACTTCTCAATCAATCGAGATGATTGACAGAGTCTAAATTTCAGTCTAAATTCTTAACTCTCAATTTCATTCCCCCAATTTTTTCCATCCACTGGAGTTATTTTCCAGTTTCTTACTCAATAATTTCTTTTCTTTCTCTTCTTTGTATTTACCTTCGTAAATGTTGATTGTTAACGGATAAACCGTCGTGCTGACATTATTCTTAAGTATCACTAATATAGTGTAAACATTAGCCTTCAGGAAGAAATGGACGATGGAGAAGTTGCACGTGGTGATTTGCTCCCCATCGTCGCAAGTCTCATTGCCTGTTACGTTATAAGTCCCCGGATGAACTTCCAGGCATTTGAAAAAGGGTCCAGAGCCCTGACAACTCACACTCAGGTTCAGCATTTCCCAGGGCTTTATCCAGTTCGTCCCTTCCACTGTTATATTTCTTATTGGCGCTGCAAGTGAAGGAAACAATTGTTTTTTTTATTTCGTCATCGATCAGTAAATCTTATATCCATCGATCTTCCAGGTAACTTGCAAAATTTGTTTAACTTACCTCTAACGTAAATATCCCTATGAAAATATCCGTATGTTTTCTTAGGATCAGCTAGAACTGAAGAAGAGTTGAAGCAGACGTAGGGTAGGGAAATGTTCTTCCCCAGATCGATTGACGAATTATTCTGCCAAGAAGGCTTGAGCGTGCTCGTTGGCTTTGATGTGGTGGTAGTTGTTGGTTTAGCAGTTGTGATATTTGATGGTGGAATTGGGGTGGTAGAGGTTGTGGTGGGTGGGACAGTCGTAGGAGGTTCGTGGGAGGCGATTACAAGGGCCTCGATGGATTTTGTTTCATCAGGACGAGTGAAATTAAATCCAAATGTGAAGTTATTCGTCTGTCCGTAGTACTTACAATCAACGAACCAATACGTCGAAATTGATGTTGCATTTTTTATTATGTAATCCTCGTCGTTTTTTCGCATGTCAATTTTTATTTTGGATTCAGCGGCGGAAGAGACGTACGAATCCGTCAATGTGTGATTTGATTGCGATATTGAGATGTTCCCATTCAAAAACTCTGGAATTATAAACAAAACTCGTTTTAGTCCTTTTTCCAGATAAATTTACGAAGAATTGTAACAGAACAATGGATTGAGGTAAAACAATAGGAGAGTGAATATGAAGTCGATTTTTTGAAGTCTTCACGCCGGATATCTCTTTGTAGAACAGTCATTTGCGTTTTAATGCTCACCAGTTATCTCAAATCTCTTGTGTTGACTATCTTCGATCCTCCAGAAGATGAGATGCCATTGACTAACAATTACCTCCACAGAATATTCCCCAACTGGATAAAACGCAGGTGGATAATCAACCTTCCAAATACTGGTTGTATTTTCTGTTTGGGGGGACTGAAAAATGGACATAAAAAAATTTGATAAAGCAACCTACGGATTTCATCGGAAAATTATATTGAATTCATATCAAATTTTCTCGGAGTTTTTGGCTGATTCCCGGTCGATATTACTATAAAATATTGAATCGAGAAGTCTATAGAATTCCATTTTCCTCTGAAATTACTCTGTTGAGATATTTTAGATAAAATTTGATTAATCAATTTGTCTTAAGGCTCGGGTGGATTATCTAGAAAAGATAATTTACTCCGAAATTACTTTGGCAATTAATCGTTTTTTTCAATAATTGTTAGCTAGCGTTCTAGCGGTTGTCAACAACTAGGCCGCTAGCTAACAATTATCGGAAAAAACGATTAATTGACGGGGTAATTAGAAGTACCAATTTTGGAGTAAATTATCTTTTCCAGGCAGTCCATCCGGGCCTTAATGTTTATGTTTGATTTGAAGGAATTTTCTAGCGAGCTAGGTTTCTCCATTAATTTGATAGATCATGAATTCATGAAAATTTATGAATTCCCTTATCGCCCAGAGGAAGGTGATAGCAGACTTGATACCTCGTAACTGTGTCCGGGTACACCATTATCCGTCCACGTGTATCGAAATTCTCCAGAAGGTCTAGATCCATCATAGTTATATAAATCAGCTCTAAAAATAATGGATCCACCCTGGACGGTGGGTCCATCATCCCTCAACGTGACGTAACCCGTAAAACCATGGACTGAAAAATAAATACGAAATAATGGACTTCCCGACAACTGGATAATTTTTAAAACGTCATTCCCTATATGTGTTACCTTGCAGCACACACAAAAGTGCTGTCCAAATGTTCAAATAATGCCTCCACATTTTCACAACTTGGCACCTCACATTTATCAAAATGACGAGAAATTAATTAAGTAAAGTTCCGTGGAATGAAATTGATGAATTTTAAGTTGTAGCTTCAATCATCTCGGAGCAATAACTATCATCGAATACGCCATTCCTGGGGCATCTCTGTACTTGTCATCAGTTAGGTACATTCCAGTTACACCAACTTTACTGCGTAGGAAAAAATTCTGACAGAAGTTGAAGAAGAGGGCAGCACGTGATGGACTGTTCATAAATAAAATAAACATAAACATTTATGAAATTTTAAAATAAAGAAAACATGGAAATTATTCCAATCATTTATGTTCTATGATTATTACTCATCCTTTTCGTTTTTTAAAAGAAATATATTAATATATGAGAATTTATCCCAGTGTCTTTGGGAAGAATTATTGCCAGTGTAATTGACAATTAAAATATAAAGCTTCTTAATTATTATTATTTTTTCGGAGACATATTGAAGAAGTTTAATTTTTCATATCGTCAGTGAATCGGAATTTAAACAACTCAACAAAAAAATTTTAATAGATGAGAATGGTGTGGCATTCCATCTGGCTGACTTCGAATGAATAATAATAAAAAACGGGAAATTTTCTCTCACTTCTGCTTTATTCTGTAATCATCACCATGAAAAAATTTCCATTCATTATCTCTTCATTCCTGTTGCAAAGGGGACGAGTCTGTTATGATGAGTTCTCAAAATTTTCTTTTATATCTTTCTGATACCCTGAAAAATTGCAAACGAATATTTTACTCGCATTAAAAAATATTGCGTATTGTTCTCGGAATAAAAGATTGTAATTATTTCGTGCAAATCATCTTCAAAGGTTAAGACGATCCACTTCAATAGATTAATGATTAGTTTTTCATGAATATCTCAGAATCTAATGGAGATATGAAAATTTGAATAGGAACCTTTTTTATAGTCCTTAACTGACTCTACAAAAAATGTTATATGAAAATTTCGCAAACTCCGCTGAGTTCAGAGATATTCCTCTGAAACTCGAAAAAGACGATTTATTATGCTTTAATGGCTTCGGGGTTGAAATTATCTTCTCATTACGTCTTTGAAATGAGAGTAGGTGTGTATAAAATTGACCTATGTACCCTCTGACAATTCCTCCCGTGATCTCCATAAATCTAAATTCATTTACCCGTTATTCTCCACGGCAATTACCAATCGGAGTGATACCCCGACCCAGAGAACCGTATTATCACCTCTTCAAGGTTGCCCGCCGTCCCACACAAATTCTCATGTAAACAACAGTATCGATACTAACCCATATCGATATATGTTCTTCCGATTTTCGATAATCTGCATTTAAATTTTTTCATCGATTTTCTCGTCGAAATTCCGACAAAATCATTTTTCCGTGTATCAATATTTCGAACTGATGTCGATCAAAAAAATTAATTATTAAATATTAAAAATATCAAAATATTTCGCGTATCGATGTTCATAAGGGCGATAACTGGTGGTATCGACAAGTGATCAAAATCGATACCGAGTATCGATATTTTTTTGAATGTGAAAGACTAGTGTGAACGGAGGTATGAATGTCCAATGGCAGTTAGTCTTTGGGAGTCGCTGCAGCGGGAAAAGGTGGGGATAAAAGGAGAAGCGAAATGAGAGAAAAAACATCAGCAAAAGCGAGCAAAAGTTGTTCTCGGATGCTGTCTGTGTTACTGAGCGCGTAGACAGTTGTAAAACCGGGGGGGGCGGGGGGGTATTCGACGACAATTTAATGGGTTATTGTGTGTACCCATCAAATCCCACGAATAATCCATCTAATTTCTCCGGATTAACCCCAATCGAGTGCTTCAAAACGGCGAAATACTGGAGTTGGAGTGAAGATATGCGAATATTGGAGTCGAGAAATCAAAACGTGTTGGAGAAGACGTGGATGGTATCGGGAAAATACTCTCGATGAACAGCTGACGACAGTGTACAGTCAAAAGAAAGGAAGAGAGAGAGAGAGAGAGAAAGAGAGATAGATAGAGAGAGAGAGCGAGAGAGAAAATTGAGTCAGACGAGAACGAGAAGGAGAACGAGGAAAATAGAAGTTGAACACTCGAGGAAGATAAAACAATACAACTGATAAGCGTGTTTTTAGCGAATGTCCGAGTGAGCACGTAATTATTTGTGGAATAGGTTTAATCACCGGGTTATGTGTTTCGTATGGCTCGAGGGCCGGGAATATGGCCACTGTTTTCGAGAGTCCATTTCTGTCGAATAGACTGCGACAGATTGAGGAACGTTATGAGGAACCAACGACATTTGGCAGATGTGACTGCACAAGTTACAGCTACCTAGCTTTGAGTGTTGTATTGTTTATAATTGGTACTGCTATTACGATACTTGCACTTGGTGATGCTGCTAATGGACAGGTGTTCAGCAATCTTGGGCACATGTGGCTTGTTGGACCGATTTTCATATGCTCAGGCCTCATGGTCGGGGCCAAATGCATTCTATATCTCAGGAGGAAGTCGGTTATTCAGATGCTTGTGCATCAGCGTCAGCTGTTCAGGGTAATTCATAGAATATTTATGTTTCTATTGTGTTGAGTGAATGCCGATCGTTGTTCGTTCTGGAAACATGTGTGAGATTGTGACCTTCCAGTAGCGATTCTTTGTTCTGCTCTGAAAAGTACTGGTTGGTTTTGAAAATTTTTTTTTTCGGAATATGGATTTTTTAAAATTTCTTTTTTTCGGAATATAATATACTTCCGTCATTTGATATCGTCTGAGAGATTTTCTGATTTTTTTTATGTCGAGAATCTGCAAGAAATTTCGTTTTTTTTACGGGAGTCTTGTCGAAATCGTTTTAGTTTTAGAATTTTTAGGATTTTTTTTAGACATCGAAAAATTCACAATGGCTACTTTAGGAGAGATTTTTTAGAATAATTTAGTTAATACAGAAGTTCTTGCGGGAATATTTTTCTGAATCTATGGGTGATGGGAAATTGCTGTAAAGACCTTCAGGATATCACGGGAATTCTAGATTTTACCAATTTCATGCGGAACAATAGTAATTATTTATCTGTGAGAAGATAATTGTGGGAACAATTGTATTCCTCGTGACGTAATTTGAATGCAATTCAAGTGCCAAGTTTGATGATTGAAAATCCCGTCCACTTGAACTGTTTCACCTCTCCTCTACTGAATTAGTGTATCAATTAATAGGAAGATTGTTGTTAATTCGTTAATGATTTTTAAAACGAGAAATTGAGTGCAGAAGGTTGGAGTGTTTGAAGGTACGAAAAAGGCCTCGTGACATTTTTCCCTAAAGGTCATCATAAAGATATTTAAAAATTCAAGGAATATCTCTTGAAATTTTTTTTTTCACGCAGCAGATCCGGAGATATTCCGTAAAATAGGTGACTACATTGTTTTTCAGTTTTGATTTGTTCTTGAATTGAGAGAATTGCTCTGGCGAAACTCTTGATGAAAGGAGAATTTTCATACGAATTCATTAATTGAAGTCGTCAAGGTCTTCCAACATTTTTTTTCAGATCTGTTATAAAGACGTCGAGATATATTCCTCCTGATCTGCGCCAATTATGAACTCAATTTATGTTAATTTGCAAATTTCCATATATGCAGAGATGAACTTTGCAAACATTTGCACATTTTTCTCAGTGTAGAGCAAGTTAATAGAGAGTCAATTTCACAGATGACACTACTGACCATAAACTGTTTTAATTTTTTTAATTCTCTACGCGCATTCTATTGTGCAGATTTTTTTTAAATAATTCAATAGAAAACCTATCCTCGAATATAATTCTGTTTTCAATCAAAATCTTTTGAAAATCGTCAGAATAAATGACAAACTGAATTGACAATTAAAATGCCCATTGCCATTTTACTTTGAAGTAATAATCAGAGAGAAATTCTCTGAAATAATCGTATTTATAATATTTATCTCTAAAGGAAGTTATGTGTCATTGCGTTGAAAATTTCTTGAACAAAATTCTTGATGGAGGGAAATATTCACTGGAATTCCCCAATCAACTGATGACGATATCGAATGTCACGGAAATTAGTAGTAATCTCTTTAAGTATTGAGAATTGAAAATCATATTTCGCAGAAGAGCTCTCCTGATTTCTAGAATTATTAAGAAATACTTTGATATTCTTGAGGCCTCAGAAAATATTCTCCCAGGCCTTGAGAAAAACTAACTCTCATTCTCCACAACTTTATCGGTTAAATATTAATCACTCTAGTATATAGCTAAAAATAAGACTTTCAATGACCTAAAAAACTTTGGCAACTGCAATTCAGCACTTACAGGAGTTAGCAGGAGCTCAAGGTGTGAATAGTTCCGGTGCAGGTACCCCTGGTCCACCACCTTACGATTCCATAGCTCAAGGTCAAGGACCCAGTGAATTGCCACCACCGACATACGCCGAGGCCGTTGCTCTACTCCATCAGACTGATATTCATGGTAAACAGACGTCATATCTGTATTTTGCACTTATACTTGAGTTTATTCACATCGTCTTCTTTGTTGGATTTTTCAAAAGGTGCAAAGCCCTCGAGCGAGTCACATCAGGATGATGGTTTCGCAACAGTTGGAACTACACGAGCCAAACCCTGAGATGCTTCCAAGTACTTCTGGTTTTTTTCTATTTATTATTAACGACTCTAATCAGGATAATGTAGTTAATAATTGCGACTGATTGTCAACTCACTACGAACAATTTTATCTTTTCATATTAATGGTCTTTTTAGGGATCAGTGTAGGGCCATTTTGTGCATTTTAATGTTTCTTTGGCAAGTTCGTGTCAACGATGACCGAATTAATTTCTTTTCCCTCCCTTCTTTTTTTTTCGACTTAAGTAGTACTTAATGCTTCGAACGAGTGACTGGTGATGCAGCTGTAATTCCTAGCTTTAGATTCATTATTGTAGGTTTTTTTTATGCAAATACTATTATATTCATTTACGTTGCAATCTTATTGTAGGGATGTTTATCAAATTATGCTTTCTTCATTGTTATTCTTTGCCTTCTCACTGCGCTTTAATTAATATGAGTAATTGATTTTTCAAACGAAATTTTTTTCATCAACTAGAAAATTATCATTTTTTACGGGAAGTGTAAAAATTATTTTCAATTTTTCAGTGAAAAATTTGATAATTTACGTGATTTTCTTTTTTTAAACGAACTTTTCATTAAAAACTGTCAATTTAGATCAATTGAAGTTTATTAATTACCTCGATTAACTCTTGAAAGGGTCCAGAGAGGATCTAAAACCTAAACCACGTAAAGTTAAGCATTCTTGTGTAAAAAAAATTAATCGGAGTCTAGAAATAATCGACTCATTTGTGAATTGAAGAAAACATATTTTTCTACCGATACGGTCTCAAGAATTAAGACTGCATTCATGCCTTAAAATAATTCTAACGATGCCTCAAGTGATATGTACTTGAAATCATGAGGTCTAAAAATGGAATTGATAAGAATTGTTTTTAAAAGGATAAATATCATGATGATTATAATAAAGGAATACGGAACAATTGGCCAGTATTATTTCTAAGCGGAATGAAAGCTTTTTTGGCAAATTTGATAAAATTTTTTGACATTCGAAATAAGTACCATAACAATTTCCCATAAATTATCATAACACCCATCGAAACGTCAACATTCAATCAAATCATATTTCAAGTTAATGATTACTAGACACGTCATACCTCTTGTAATGCATAAAATAATTTAACAATAATAAATTGTGATGTTTTTTCTCTTTTTGTATGTATATATACATCCAATGAAATATAATTAATCCAAAGGAATAAAATTTAGACTTTGTATTTCTGTAATCGACGTTAATCCTCATTTATTCTCAATAATCATTAAATATCTAGTATTGATGTAAAAATCTTCTGGCATTTTTTGTTTGCAGCAGAGAAGAAAGAGCATCATTTATTCCGCTTACATTCGACGAAAAAAAAAAAAAATTATTGGAAACAGAATACAAAGGGTTACGCTCACAGAAATAATGGAGAGAGAGAAAAATAAATGTGAAAAATTTGTTAAAAGATTATTTTTACGAATGAGCAACAGCCAGCATCTCTTCTTGGTGAATGAGGTGCGTTGTGTTGTTGACGAGGCCCATTAATTGTGATAACGAGGCTGACCAGGCGTCTAAGAGGGCTGCGGGCTCTTGAGTGCCTGTGAAACGTACAACGCCAGCTGGTCTGTCCGTACGTGCACTGATAACACCAGTTTCAATGAGTTTACATAGACAGGCCTCGGTCTCCTCCACCGCAAGGTCTAACAACTCCGACATTCGTTGGAGCGTTATTTTCGTGTAATACTTTGCCATTATCCTGATATTCTACAAATTAATTGACAACAATAAATAATCAACGATTCCATCATAATACTCAGGAGAAGATTAAAAAAAATAATACACACGTGCTCAACAACTCGATTTTTCAGGTCTTCCCATCTTTTACGTCCATCTTCCGATGATGCAGTGAAGACCTCAGTAGCTCTTAAATCCTTCTCATAAATTTCGCAAAGACCTGACCACTTGATAAGTTCAGGATTCACGAACAGTCGAAGCAATTCTCTATAAGAGAATACAATAGAATAGAATACGGAATTCTTATCTGAACTTTTCTAAAGTTTCTGGATAATTGAGTAAAATGGAATTTACTTGTATGTTGGGATTTCATCGAGAAGTTTATCAGCCAAGAGTCTGTGTGTCATGTCAGCTTGCTCTGGCTCATGGGGAGCGAGAACCAGATAAAGAACAGCACGTGAGAGTGCAGTGTGACGTTTCTTGACATCTTCTTTGACAGCAGGAGTTTCCAGAACTGCACGATTGTGACGACAGAGTGCCAAGTGCCAGCCTTCGTGTTTAGCAAGCTCCATCATCAAGCTATTTACACAAAAAAAAATAACAAATTCATGATTTTTAATACGAATAAGTGTTATATATTGTAATGAATAGCCATTTTTATGGACTTACTCGTAGTATTTTAATTTCAGTACTTGTGTCTCCTCATCGTTCTCATCATCGAAGAATTTGACATTAATTTTCTTAGCAATGATCTGCGTACGAACGAAATCCAATTTTGCTATGCAAAGACGCATTTGTTCGAGGATGAGAGAGACCTTCTCCCTCTTGGCCATGCTACCGTACGTCTCCACTTGCAATTCGAGCATGATGGAATTGGCACCAGTGATGTCACCATCCTCTTCCTTTAATTTTGCGAGACGATGGGTCAAACGGGCTCGCTCCACTTCCACGTAGATCTAAAATTATTGAATCGTGGATGGACAATTTTATTTTCTCTTCCAAATAATTTAATTAAGCTGTATTAAACCGCTTAATTCTTTTTTCGGTGAATTAAGACTATTACCTTTCCTTCTGTGACAGTTCTCAGGGTCTCAATGAGCTTAATCATTGTTTCCCTGTTAGGTGTTTTGTCGATGTAGGTACAACACTCCTGCACCATCTTCGTAACAGCTTGTTTTAGCTGAGAACGTCTTTTCGAGAGGAGAACAATGTGTTCGTTCAGTGCTCCCCAGTTTTTTGCCTCGAAGCAAATCTCCACGATTGCTATCAGCACCCGTGAAGTGGAAATCATGTCCGCTCCCTGGAGAGAATAATTGTAGTTGTGATTTTTTTTCTCAATTCTTGTATTTTTAGAGCTCTTGAGAAAAGCTTACCGTTCTTGTGAGCTTTTCAAGTGCCAAAAGGTGATCCAATGCATCATGAATTTTTCCCTGCTGCGCTAATTTCTTGCACTCTGGAATTTTTGTGTCACAATTACTACTGTAATCTACCTCCATCTTCACGATCCTCCCCGAGTCTGTTGCTGGAGCTTCTGCCATTGCGAGGACCTGATTTTTATCTATAAAAAAACTTACAGAATAAAAAAAGAATATTGAGTTCTTCAATCCTTAAAAAATTGAGATGCAGATAAGAGCTTTTAAAACAATAAATAATAATGAACAATGGCTACGACTACAATAATAAAGGTTTATTGAGTTCACGTTCAAATTAAGGAAAATTCACAGATGACAATTATGTCTATAATCCGAGGAGAATACTCGGAGATTTATTGTTGAGATGAAGTTCAGAGCTATATTCGGAGATCATTACACTGCACTTTTATGATCTTCATCAAAATAAACAGCAAAGACTCAAATTGCAAGGAAACCCCACCCCAAAACGTAAACGTGGAATTATAAATATTATAATTGAATCGTTTTATTGCCTGTATTTAATTTCCAAATGAATGATAGGATAAATATGCCTGGGAAAAGTGAGGTTAGACAACAAAAATTGACGCCGCACTTGTGCATGGAAAAAGTGGAATAATGATTAACTATCCTGAAAAATTCTGTACTACTAAAAAAGCCAGACATCGTCTTCAATATCAACTCTGTTATTTACCTTTTAGAAACTGAAAAATGAGAGTAAATGCAATTTGAGATCGGATGACAGTAAAAAATCTTGATCAACACTGCTCCGGTTTTTGGTAATTTTCTCCAAAGAAGATTGACTAGAGTAGAGGTTCAGATCTGGGGGATTGAGTGACTCCAGCGGCATCGTAGTACTACACCCCAAGAGAGGGAGGACGCCACATGCAATTGCAAAGGTATGGTGGAAGGAGGTATTGCCAAGCTTTGATGTCGCCGACACCAAAACAGGGGACAAGTACCTTCAGACGTCGTACGTAGCGCTGTATAACGCCTTCCCCTCATGTGCGTTTCGTCCCCACCATTCGCGATAATTCCACACCCTAGTTTGTGGAATAAATTATTAAAAGTGTTAAGTAAAAGCAATACGAAAGAAATCATTCATAAACTCACTTCTGGCCACTATTTCCATCAAATTTTGATGTTGAACTATTCCCCTTGTCCAGAACACCGGTCGCCTCGGTATTAGCCTCAACCATTTTCTCTTCACTCTCAAATATCTTCTTTCGTTTTCTCAATTTAGTCAATAGTACATAGACTCGTCCTTGAATCCCATGATTGTCTAGTTCTTTCCTAACGACTTCTGCGGTCTGTGATATAGTCTGAAAGGCATTGGTCATCTCAAAAGCCTGACTTTTTTCTGATAACGTCTCAGCAGCTCCCTTCGCAGATTTTGAAATTTCCTTACCCAATTGC